TCGGAACACTACGTAACTCTTCATGCAATGTTTTAAATGTTCAAACAATATTCTTCTGATAGGCATAATATGTCAGCCATCTCGCTATTCCGGCATGATCATGCAAGTAGACTTTTTGGGACACCACGATCTTTTCGCGTTTTTCTTTCGTTTACACCATTCATAACTAAGTCACGTGCTGTGGCATACGTCATCTCGGACGTTAATTTTATGGCTCCACTTTCCCCAGATTGCGAATTGCGAATTTGGCGGACTTTCGTCATCAACGATTATTACGTTATCGATCCCAATCTCAACTTCTTCGTCGCTGGACATAACAAGTGACTAACAAAATTGAATAATGTTAGTATTTGGTAGGAAATAAATTGTAACACAATGTATATGGTACCTCAATAAAAATGGCACACTGAGTCTTGGAAAACCATTGAAAAACAGTTACTTGGTAATTACTAATTGCAAACAGAAGACGTAATAGAAATAACTTCAAAACTTCGACAACTGTTTCATAAAACTGACAGCATAATGCGATTTCACCAACCCCCACAAGTCACATTATATTATAGATAAGATTTTGTATTGCATTCCTAGGAAAATATTGAAGAGTTATTATGTTAAACCCTTACATCAGAAATCAGTTTAAAATTTCTAATGTGTTTTTAGTATAGGAGATCATCCATCTGAAGGACAAGTTCAACTAGAAATCGAGCTACCTCAAGTAGTGACTGTTTTAGGAAGATTTATAAAATGCGCACTAAGATATATAACATTGTAATCAAAAAAATGTTCCTACTCTTAAAATACAATAGTCCGCTTCACTGGCTTGTGGTACACGTGCTGGTCCCTTTCGCTTTACAACAGGCGGCGAAGTCAAAACCATAAAAGGTTGTAAAAACGGTATATCGTCGGGGGAACTTTACCCCTAATAATGTTCTCTTAATCCATACTGCTAAAAGTAGTAACGACATTATTGAAATGAATGAAATTCTCCAAAATTCTCCCTTATCGGTGGAGGACCAGAAAATGTTCAAAGATATTACGGAATAACTCTTACTGGTTAAAAACGCTGTATTTTAATTGACCTAAAAGCCATCTGAAGGGACAAATTTCAATTCCAAACCATTAAATTCGCTTTGGTTAGCTTTGGGTCGCCCCGTTGTCCTCTTGCGTGTACTGGGTATCCGGAAAACAAGAGAAAAAAAAATAAAAGCTGATTCTACTCAAGAAATTAATACTAAAATTCATATAGAATTTTTTCGAAAGCTCAAAAAGGACGTTATCAGACGTTGCCAACAAAAAATAAATCTGACATTCTCCAGTAGATCCATCTTTCTGAAATTGCTTCTTATTTAAAGTAAGCCAATTAACGATGTCATTCTTTTTTTTTTTTCGAAAAAGACGTAAGGAGTTTCTTGATCGGTAGGTGATATTAACCAGGACGAATAAGATCTAGCATTTGTTGGAAGTAGTCTTCAAAAACATCAGCACTGGATGAAATGCTAGTAAGCCATCACCGACGAGTCCATTCTTGCTATCAGTATGAGGAATTGTTCATCCTGGGGGTGCTTTTATCCCAATGGACCATCCTTCCACGAAAGCTTGCCTTGCACTATTTCAATTTTTGATCTCGCCATGTCGTACCAACCTTCATTTACCAAAGTTTCGTCCAGTTAATAGATTTTCTGGGAGGAATGAAATCATCCCCCTTCAATTGAGACATTATTATTTCAGTTTCTTTTCTTCTTGTACATATAACACAATGTTGAGTCGAAATCGTTTGTCGCTTGGTGCAAAACGGGTTGGGAAAAATGTATATGAAACTTTAATCAGTAGAGGACTTATTCAACAAGAAGCTTTAAAAGAAGCATGTCTACTTACCAAAACGCCAATATCGTCGGTGCATAGTCAATATACGAAGGTAGAAAGTTGCTCTAAGTAGGTATCTTCTATTTTGCATATTTTTTTACTCCATAAATTAAGGGCAAACACGAACATTGATTAGACAACAGTTTGGTGATGCATGCTTCGATATTCACGACACTGTATCCAAAAGATGGGTTGATTCCATTCAAAACTGTTAGACGAAAGCACGTTCGAATAAAGCTCTGATTATCATGAAAATACGTGTGAGAAACTTTTCGAAAAAATCTTTTAAAAAATATGTCTGCTACGCTCGTCGAGTTCAAAAACTGAAATCCAGCAATATTTGTTAGAAAATTATGTTTATTTTGGAAGTCCTACATTCATATGCAATTAAAAAACAGTACGAACGCGATAATTGGACTGAACAGGCTTTGCATACTGTTTTACGTCTTCCCCTATATCATTGCATGTTTAACCTAATAGAGCGCTTGTGGAACCAAGTAAAATCAAAGCAACAGGAGAAATAAACAGTAGGCAAAGTTAATCACGGGGTAGGAAGTATATATTCCATGAATCGAGATTATTTGCGGACGCGCCAAACAGAGAAAAACTCCGATCTCATCCACAGCGTCTCACCTACAGGCGGCGTCGCGGCGTTCGCCGTCGCCTACCTAGATTTCGCCCGCGGCCGATGCGTGCGTTGCCCGTGTGGAAAACAGCTGAGAATCGCGGGCTTCAACCTCTCGGGGTGAACGATCGCCAGTATTTCACTCTCTACAGCGCGTTTTCTTCTGCGAAGCCAAGCGTCCGACGCGCTGCGGCGGTGCCCGTGCCAACTTTGTTTCGTTTTTTGTCCGGTTCTCTTTTTATTTTGTACGTTTCGAAACGCGACGGGGTTATCTTCAGGACGAGGAAAGAAATGTGATGTTAATTTAATATTCACTCAAAAGTTTATACCGGGTTATACAATTTACCGTCTCTTCCCCAATACGAAAGATAATTTCAATTCAAACGGTCCAATTTAAATTTCAATTTTTTGAAAAATATTGTACCTATATGTTTGGTAATGCAGCCTTGTTGCATATTTTTATTATTTTATTTTTTCTTGTTAAATTTATGTAATTAATGAAACGATTATACGTCTACTTAAAGGCGATATTTAGAAAAATCACCTTAACGTAATTCACCTCCGAATCTTGTGCTCCTAAAGGTTAACCGCTCGTTGGACGCCCAATATTTTAGTCGTCCGCTGAAGATGAGCACTTGAGTGACTGAAACATGTACTGACGTCTTGGTTGTTTCCTGTCCCTTTCATTTAAAGGATATTTAAAACATAACCCAGCGTCGCATTTCGATAAATACAAGGGATAATATTCTTTTATAAAATTTAACATTCCGGCTCCCGTAACGGTCCTGAAAAAACCAAACTTAAGATTTGAATTTTGTGTCCACCGTTTTATTTTTGCTGGAAATTTGCAATTAAAAAGTAGCGAAATCAAAATGTCTGCCGCAGGAAAATATCGCGATTTTTTAAAATGCCAGTTATCACATTGCTTTTTTTTTATTAAATTTGGAAATTTATTTCGCCTAGTTCCACAAATTTGAAGGAAATTGTAGCCGCAAATGCATATTTGTTATACCCTGTAGAACTGATTTGTTCGGTCGTTTTGCCGAATAAGTGGAATCCATATAATATATTAAAAAAGTCATAATGACTGGTGTTTATTTATTTCTAAAAAGAAGGTCAACCGTGGCAACAATCCAAAGATAATTGTTTTGGCGTCATGAGATTCTTTGTCCGTTAAAAAAAAATTGAAAATAATTTTGGACATCCTCTATTTATGTTCCAACAATTTATAAAATATTTGCGTTTCAGAAATCAAAATTCATGTAATTTAGTTTGTTGCCATTTCTAAATTTTATTTGCTAATGTCATTGATAAAGCTGTGCGATTGGGTAATTAATATTAAATGTGTAAAGATAATAACAATTCCCTTAACCTAGTTTCGGAGAAGACCCCCACGTAAACCGGGTTTTGATCATTGAAACGAATATGCTAAAAGCATTCGACGCGTACGCTCGAAACTGATAAATATTTTCAGCATTGGCCCACCTGCGAGACATAGGCGTGCCAATGGGCCTTCGAGTGCGGTAAAAATGTTTTATTTTCAAATCCGAAGAAAAGTTTCAATGTTAGGTTGTTTTAAGAGTCTCCAGTTCACATTTTCCGCTTACAAACATAACATAGCATAACAATTACGCTTTGGTTTAATTGAGAACGCAAAGCAGATACGGTTTGTTTGTATTAGACGCGCCGCCTCTGACGCCGAACAATCTAGCCCACCTATAACGCATTTTTCATTGGGATTTCGTACCCGAGGTCGGACCGCTACAATTAATTTTTGTATAATTAAAATGTATTGTTCAAATTTTTGGCATTGACAAACACACCTTGGGCGGCGACTGAACACTATTGATACAAATTTATGTCCAAATTTCAATAATCAATTTTCTTAACCGTCTCAACCGAAATATTTTACGTACGATGGGCCAATCTTAATATCGCTTTAATTAATTCAATCATAAGAAGTAAAAACTACTAGCGCCCCCGTTGATTGGATAGTCGCATCAATCACGACGCTCTCGAGCATTGTCTGGTACCTGGTAAATAAATAATCGCTAATACTTGCCTAGATGACCGCCAAAAATCCCGGAAACAATGAATATTATTTAGAAAAGTACACAGGACAATACGCGAAATATCAATATATTTTTTTTTTGGCGCGATCTTTTGTTTGGTAGTCGAAGCCGACGCTGTAAGCGCTGCTACGTTGTTGAACGTGGTTTGGCACTTGTTCGCTAGATGGGACGACCGTAGGTAAATGAAAAATCGTGTCCAATAATCATTTAGACGACCGCAAAAATGCCCAAAATAACCACATCTAAACCATCGAGGACCAGCCACGAAGAAACGACTGCAATGTTTAATTAATAAATCACCGCGCCGAATTAAAACCGCTTAAGTTTCACAAACTTAATTCTTTTATATATGCATAGTATGCCAATAATTAACTCCTCAACTTTCACCGCATAATTTCACCTTCTCTTGAACTAAATGTTATTAATTTCAGTCCTTGCTCGTTATGAGCCGCGTCCGGTATCGAATTTTCGTCTTGGTATTGGAACAGTAATAGTTTATTTCGTCGAGGTGCCTCTAATAGTTAAAGACGAGTAAGTTATGACAAATTCATTTAAAAAAAGAACAAATTTTTTCCTGCGAACCACTTTTACGCCCCTAAAAAGCTAAGGTATTATTCGCAGGAACTTTAATTTAATACAGAGCTGAACGTAAAGTAAATCAATTAAATTAGTTATTAATAATTAAATTATTTCGAGTCAAACAAGTATGGTCGTTCTCTCTGAGTCAATAAAAATGCTCTGCCGATTGCAACTGACGCGCAGGGACGGGTTAAGGCCCAAAACTACCGTGGAACGAAGAACTCTTTTATAAAAATGAAAATTCTGATTCCAGTGGCGGACGAAACCCATCAAGCACGCGAAGACATCATCAGAGACACGATCGGAGATTTTGGACGATGGCAGCTCAAAATATCGTTGCTCATGTCCCTGCTGAAATTCCCCATGGCGTGGTTCCAGATGAGCATCATATTCTTGGCGCCTCCGATGAGTTTCTGGTGCCGAAAACCGGAAGACGCTGACGAATGGATGCGGCTCTATGACGTCGAGAACGCTACGGCCTCAAACGTACGTAGTAATTCAGTTTTTCGATGAAAAACGGGAAATAACAAAACGAGAACGAATCGAGGGTTGTGTTGCTTTGTTGTGGGAAAATTAAGAACTAGATGGCAGTTCTCGTCGTCTTCTCGGCCATCTTGGAACAGCTTATACCAGTTGTAAACATTTTTTTGCTGAAAGTAGATTCACCATAGGCCGTTGTCAACATTTCAAGTGTTTTGCAGCACTGTGACTCGTTTGTATACAAAATTTTGTGCAAATTCTTTGTTTAATTTTTTTTTCCGCACATAAAATACGTCTAACGCTTCCGTCTCAAATAAAGTGCACATATGTTAGAGACATGTGTACCAACATAACAAAAAAAATTGGAAGATCGAATGTAAGTAGTCCGCCCAGGTACAAAAGTCAATTTATTTTTTGAACACACCTCGTATTTGACGTAGGTCACACTTTATGCCAAGGGATACCAAGGTTAAAATAGTTGGGGATATTAACTCAATATCCCGTATATAGAACCCAATTATTTTGGTTAGCAACAAAATTTAAAAAATTTACGTTTAAAACTTTTTAGTTCTTATTTCTTCCAAATATTTCCCTAGTTTATGAAGTTAACGGCGTTGCATTTAAATTTATGAAATTTCCACCTTTTTCCTTATCAGTTAACCGCGGCCATTAAAACATTTTTAGCCATTATCTCTGGGAAATACGTGCCTTTTAAAAAAATAGATATCTATATAGAACTGAGATCGGCTGCCTATTTGAGGAACTCCTTGCCTGTTAGCAGTGGTTAGAAGCTGACAGAAGCTGATCGGTGGTACCTAACTGAGTATTTATCATATTTTAAAATTTAAATTTGCGTCTCTTTGCCTTACCTATTGATTTATATATTTACCAAAAAAAAAAAACAGGCGGTTGCTTAATTGTGGTATTTTGGATCCAGGTGCTCTAGCGATAACTTTTCGGAATGTCAATTCCTGTTATTCCTCTAGGAAGGATTGAATAAGGGTCACTGCTACATGACAAATTCAACCGACAACCAGAGCTACAACGTAGCCTGCCCTTACGGATACGTCTACAACACGTCGGTATTCAAGTCCACCATCACCAGCGAATGGAACCTGGTGTGCGCTAACCAGAGGCTGATGGACGTCACTCAAGTGACCCTAATGTTCGGGGTGCTGACAGGCAACGTAGTCTGCGGAATTCTAGCAGACAAACACGGCCGGAGGAAAATCCTGCTGTTCTGCATATTATTCCAAGCGGTCTTGGGCATGGTCGCGTCTTACGTGCCGTGGTTCTGGGTCTTCGTGGTCGTCAGGTTCCTGTTGGCGATCGCCAACGGCGGAAGCATGGTCACCTCCTTCGTCATCTGCATGGAGTCGGTCGGAGGACAATGGAGGACGTTGGTGTCGATTTTCTATCACGTTCCTTTCGTGCTCTCCTACTCCATCATGTCGGGAGTCGCGTATCTGTTAAGGGACTGGAGGCAGTTTCATTTCGCTTTATCCTCGCTGTCCGCTTTGTACATCCTGTATGTTTGGTAAGTGAAAGGAATCCCATTCGAAGAAACTGCATACAAACGTTACGACGAATGTAAAAGAATTAAAATTAATTTGAATTTTGACCAATATTGAGTAGAGTTCTCCAAACGATATACCGTTTTTAGAGACTTGCTGACCAATCAAATGATTTGGCCCATTTTAAAAACAACGAACTCATGAAACGTATATATTTTATTGTTGTAATGGACATAATTCTATCACATATTCTTTGTGACAAAATATGTATTGAACTCTTATCCTGGTTGTTTCCTCGGCAACTTTTTGACGCGGTCTCGTAGAATATCCCATAAAAATCAGCGGCCATGTTTCCGTAGGTTGATACCTGAATCTCCCCGTTGGTTGCTGGCGGTAGGGATGAAAACCGAAGCTACGGCCGTCCTAAAAGCAGCGGCTTCGGAAAACAAAAGAGACCCTGACCAAGTGCAAAAGGTTGTAGAGGAATTTATCGGCGTTTCTACGGAACAGAGGAACAAAGTACCATTTAAGTCCTTGTTTACTACGACTGAGCTCCGGAAAAGGACCGTCCTCCTAGCTCTCGTCTGGTAAGTCCTGCCATTATTAGTTTCCGCCGAATCCGCAAATAATTATTTCAGGGCAATTTCCGGCGTGACCTTTTACGCCTTCTCGCAATACACCGGACATATTGGCGATAACATATTCGTAGTCGTCGCCGTTACCGGACTTTTCGCCGTGCCGGGTAATAATTAAAAAAAAATGTTAGCATTTTACACTAAAATATGAAAAAAAAACGAAAATGAGAATACAAAGAAAACGCCATCTGCCATCTGTAGATCAGTAGTAAAACTAAATCCGATTTCTTTGGTTAATCGGGATCTGCAAATTATTTATACTCTTTTTGATGGTTTTTTGTTGTCTTAACGGTTTACAATGTTAAGACATTCTCAGGATCAGCAGTTATAGCGAAATCTAACCCACTCTGCCTCTGTTCAAGGGTTCACCATTTGCGCGGTCCTCATAGGCACTTTGGGACGAAGATACACCCAAATCGTCGCCCACGTGGCTACCGCTATCTGTTTCATTTCACTCCTGCTGGTACCGAAAGGTGTCTACACTTACGACTGGCCCAGAATCCTACTCAGCGGCCTCGGAGCTACCGGAACCGCGGTAAGCTGCATATGTCGTTGCGTAGCTCCTGGAGCACACCACCTTTCAGATGTCTTTGCCGGCTCTGTATCTCTACACGGGAGAACTCTATCCGACCGTGCTCAGAAACGCTGGAGTCGGGTTCGCTTCCATGTGCGCCAGATTGGCGTCGATGGTGGCGCCTCTGGTACTGGCTCTCCAAGAATCCGCGCAGTACCTACCGCTAGCGGTGCTAGCGGCGATTACCTTGGCTGAGGTCGGCTTAATCCTGCTTCTTCCCGATACGGGTAGCCGCTGGCTGCCGAACACCATCGAAGAAGTGGAAATGAGCGCGCCCAAAAGGTATATGCGAAAACACTTAAAATTAGATATTGGTACATGATGACGTCCATTAGCATTCACGTCCTCATCATAATCTTCCGTTCGAAGAGTCCATCTTCGCTTGGATGACTAATTCCCGTATTGGTGACAGATAAAGACCTGAGTCGCGGTTAACATAGTTAGGTTGTTTATAGATTTCTATAGACTCTCTTGTTTTTAATAAAATTTTATGTCCGGTTTTTGATTGATTAGTGCTAAGGCTGTTTCGTGTTCTCTGAGCCTAGTTGATATTTTTCGTCCGGTCTCTCCAATGTATTCTTTGCCGCATATGCATGGAATGCCGTAAACTCCTGGCATCTTAAATGGAATTTTGTCTTTGACGGATCGAAGATGTTGAGAGATTTTTGGACACAAATGAAATGAAAATATTAAGGAAAATAGCAGGAAAAGCACTCTGGGATAGAGAAGCAAATGAAAAAGATGGAACGACAACTTGTGATAAAAATTACAATGAAGTGCCTAATATTGAAAAAAAAAAGAAGAAAAAATAATATTTTGTGATGCTTATTTTATTATCTGTCATTGGAATTTGAATCGTTTCCTTTTTTTACTTTTGTTTTAATAAGAATAAATAATAACAATTATCATGCACATATTAGTTTCAAGAACGTATTATAGTGTCTTGTTGATTTATTAAAAAGCACAAATGAAACGAAATCATATTTAATTTTGATCAAATCCTTAGCGTTTCTCAAACTGTAATTTGTAAAATATGGCGTTTTTGGTCGAAAGTTTCTGTTATCATCGTGATCAATTTAATTAAATAAACATCCAAATTCAAAAATAAATTACTTAACGGCTTCGTTGAATTTTTTTTTTCAATTAACATGTACTTAAACAATTTACACGTAACAAATGAATTGTTTTTTTTTTCAGAAGCGCTCTGAAGAACAACAGGAAATACCAGAGCGTCCTCCAGAAGGAAGTTTACTGAACGGATCGGGATTAGCCGGGGAAGTGGTCGATTTTTCGGCCAATTAGGCCCTAATTTGGGTGCAATTGGCACCGCATTGAATGGGACAGATGTACGGACGTGTGTCAGTGTAATCATTCGTTGTGGACGCTGGCAAATTGATATTTTCCTCGACCCTCGGTCCGAATTTTAACTAGAAGGGTGGGTGTGGTGTTCGTTAAGTGATTTATTCAAAGGTGTGCTTGTTGAATCAATCTCGTTAGAACGGTTTTGGTTTTATGTAATGGAGGCCTCGAATTGATTAATTTATATTTGTTTGTTTCGTAGCAATAAAGCTTTTAATATCACGGGAGGTTTAATTTCACAAAATTAAACATCAAATCAATGAGATTTGGGAAACGCCTCATTATATTATACAGGGTGTTCCAGGGTTACACTATAAAAAAAATCAGATTATTTTAAGAGACCAAAAAAGCGATAATGGTAATTGACGTATTGCATAATTATCATTTTTTTTGGTAGACGTGGACCACGTAGGTCCGCCATTGAACAACGAAATACGAGGAACAAATATGGATTTTCCGATTCAGTTTTTTGACCCTTTTAGAGTTAATATTTTTTATCTTTTTTTTTTAGTTGACCTCACGAGTTTAAGTAAATAGAGGGTGATTTTCATTTTAGGGTTGAGTAACAAATCCAGCAGTATTCAAATATTTATTTGCGATATAAAATAACTCAAAATGTTCTAAACAATAAAAAATTCTAAAACCCGTAAGAACTAACTAAACAACACCTGCCAAAGCAGAACAACCACAAATTACTAAAAGAAAAGGAAAAGAAAGAGGCTGATGTTCAAAATTATTTTGAACTGAAAAATATATATTTTTATTAAAAAAAAATAAATAACCGGCATAGTAGAGGGGACAGCAATTGGAATTTTTGTAAAGGAATCAGTAACAATTTTTTTTTTATTATTTTATTATTTGTAACATAAAATTGAATAAAATGCTCTAAAAATAAATAAAAAATAACTCTAAATCCGTAAGAACTACGCAAGCAACATCTGCCGAAACAGAAAATTACAGAAATACAGGACGTTTCTGAGATAACGCGCCCAGCCTTCGACAGTGTGAATTTTTAAGACAAACAGTCCAAGTACTTAGGTCCAAACAGACTTTATTTAAAATTAATTTGGCAAAAAAAAAATTGGGCCACTTATTTTCTTATTCCAACTTTTTACAAAGCTTGTTTTTCTATTAATCACAAATTACTAATAAAATAATCTGTCCAACTGAAAAATGTTTATTTTTTATATTTATTTAAAAAAAATAAACGGCATAGTAGAGGTGATAGCAATGAGAATATTTGTGTAAGAACGAGTAACGAAGCTAGCATTTTCAAAATGTTTATTTGTTACATAAAATAAAATAAAATGTCCTAAAACTAAATAAAAAAAACTCTAAAACCGGTAAGAGCTTTACAACCAAACAGCCCGCGCCTGCCAAAACTATAACAATTTTAATTGTTAGCCGAAATACAGGGTGTTTCTTAAGTAACTTTGCCAGCCTTCGGCATGTCATTTTTTATGTGATTTTAGGGAGTGTACATAAACAAAAAAAAATATGCTGGATAAAAAGAAAGAACAATATGTTTGTTAGCATCACCAGTCAACACTCGCCCTCCTTATTGACACTTATTGCCGCCAAATCTTAGCTAAGAATTTTTGAATGTTGGACACCCTATATTTCGGAAACTATATACACACTCCACATTTCTAAAAGACTTATTTACAAATTTTGGTGAAGTTGTGTGAAGTCACTAGATGCGAATCAGATCGAATGGTGCGTTACAACTGACAGCCGTGGACGTAAGTCACGTTGTGGAAAATGGCGGCGGCGGCCGAGGTCAGGAAGCTGCAAGGCGATTGAGCGCTGTATCTCTGGAGCGACACCGGCGGACAACAAGACGATGGATCACCCGTGCTCTTTCTCAAACCGGTCACGTTCAGAAGTTCCTTTTCTACGGAAGCTTGGTGCCTTAACTGTTCGAGACGGAGCTGATTCTGACGTTTCCATTTGGTCCTGCGCAAGAAAATGATCACCTCAATTTTGTATACCGTCTGTCAAATAAAAAACCATCCCCTATACGAAAGTTTCTTTCACTCTCTCCCGAAGATTTAAAATATTATAATTTTGTTGATACAGGGCGTCTCAAAAGTATCAACTTTGTTATTTTAAATGGAACATGTTTATGTATATAATTTATTGTAAAATACACATTATTATTAAATAATGATCTACAATTGCAAGATGTTATTTAAAACATTTTGGTCGAATTTGACTAGTCAATTAAGAAGTGGTCAATTGATGGCCTAAGTGCTTGGACGCCCGCGAAGGCGCCCCCCGTTAATACCAATACCAATACCAATAATACCCCTGACATTAATTTTGTTATTTTAAATGCAACACAATAAGGGTCAACAAAATAAAGGTCATTTTCTTAATAAATTTCTATTCGAATTTTGCATAGCTTAATCAAAAATTGAGTTTATGTGTTGTTTTACATATTTTGATTGCCTCATATAAAATTGTGTTGTGACGATACTGATACAGGCATTGCGACGAAAATTTAACCACAGACTAAGGAGATGATGCACTACTCAATCAGTTTGACAGATGCGCCTCAGCTTATACAGGGTATTCCAAATAGATGGTGCCGTTTTGACGAATTCAATTAACAAAATCCCAAGATCTTCATAAAGAACACCTTATATTTTTATTCAGATGTCAATTCTAAGACGAGAAAAATACTAATAAAACCTATTGCTAACAATACAGGGTGACCATTAATACGTGGAAATTTTGAAAAAATCGACTCTATAGTACACACTTTAAAAGATTTAGTAGAACTTCAGAATCCATAAAGAATTTTCGAGAAATTCAGTGAAGTATAATATTCTTCTATATATTTTAGAACACCGTGATTTGACAGGTGCTGGATAATTTAATTTTGTTGGTATTCAAGTCCCCAGAAACTTCCTTTGATATCCCCTTAACACTAAGGCAGCACTTTTAACCATTCATACAATTTTAGCCGTTCCTGAGCAGAATATTGCAACATTGTAACCTAAAAGTATAACTTATTTAAAATACAAATAAAATATATACCAACCAAAAACTTGACAACTTTTTAAATAACAATATGAAAAACAACAAAAACAAACAAAAATATCAAAGTTTGTTTATAACTTAATGCGTAAAAAAAGCAGATTAAATGTCTCTTTAAATATGACTTCTGAAGTTTTATTAAATCTGCTATAATGTAGTATAGAGTCGTTTGTTTTTTAAAATTCCCACGTATTAATGGACACCCTGAATTGTTAGCAATCGGTTTTATTCGTATATCTTAATCTTTAAAAGAAGTAGTACCATGTTTTTGCTATTAAAAAAATACTTAATATTGTCAACAAGTGACTTAATGTGAGCAGCTTTAAATTCTACAAGAATTTATGCGGGTGTTATCTTAAACCTCGAATATCTCAAAAAGTAAAATTTAAATATAAGATATATTACAAACTTACCTCATTTTTTGTCCTAAAATTGATATCTGAATAAAAATATAGGGCGTTCCTTTTGAAAATCTTGAGATTTTGTTAATTGAATTCGCCAAAACGGCACCACCTATTTGGGACACCCTGTCTAAGCAGAAGCGATTCTGTCAAACTAATTGAGTTTCATATGGGGCTATCAAAATATGGATAAAACACATAATCCCAATTTCTGCGTACCCTGCCTAAAATTTCTTTAGAAACCGATCTTTATTTTAACCAAGGATTCCAAGAACATCGAACATCGTGTTGCATTTAAAATAACAAAGTTGAGGGGGCACTGTTGGGACGCCCTTATTATCATCATTTAATATTAATATATATAAATATACATAAATAAATACAAATTTTATAGTATTTTTTTATTTATTTTTATTTATTTATTTATTTATTTTGAGTTAATTCACTAACACACTACTCTCTAATAATAATGGCAAAAGGACAATAGAAAACGCGAAAAAAAAAAGCAGATCAAGAAATAAAAGAACTTAGAAGTAGTATATATTTTTAAATAAAGATAAAGATTAATTTACAAAAAAAAGGTTTGAGCCATGAGCAAAATGAGAAAACTCGACCCAAGATTACCTTAACCAATTATTTTTCTCAGTTAACTCTCGAGTTAAAAGAAACAAGCGCTATTCTAAAAATTTTTCCAACTTAACATCCGAATTAGAAGAACAAATTATGGATAAACCAATCGAAACTACTTCAAGGTTCTTCCTAAATTGCCTCTCGTGTCAAAAGAAAGAAATTGTGGATAAAAGAGCCAAATTTAACCCTGAAACAGGTTTAGAATTGGAAGAAACAAATAATGGAAACTACCACAGCCGAACCACTGACTTAACTATAGAGCGAGAAGAAACAAATCAAGCAAGGTTTTCGCTGAGTTTACTCTCGAGTCAAAAGCAAACTGTGAATAAACTAGTTAAAGCTAACACTAGCTTGATTCTGAGGGAGCTTAGAGCTAGAGAGTTTTTTCTTGGTTAATATTAGAAGTTGTAAGGACCGAGAAGATAAGATAAGAAGAAAATATAGATGCAAACCCACGTTACCTTCGGTTTTGGTACCACGTCTTGACCTGCGTCTCACTGAGGTTGAGTGCGTCGGCAACGTCGCTGCGATCGGCTACCGACAGGTACTTCTGGCACCGGAACTTCCGCTCCAGGTATGCCAACTGCGCGTGCGTGAACGCGGTACGCCTACGTCGAGGCTTACGTCCCTTCGACGCGTCGGCCTCCAATTGTTCGTTAAGGACGTGAGCACCGCGATGGACGTACAGTGTCGGTTCGTCAGACTCGACCGAAAAGGACTCGTGTGAGTGAAGGTCGGTAGACGGTTCCGACTCGTCGAAATCTGGAAAACGCGTTTTGTAGCCGCCAGCGTCGCGCGCGCCTCATCACAACGTCCTCGAAAAACAATAGAGCGGATTATCCCGCGGGATAACGGGGAAAATATACTCTCGCACGGGAAAACAAAGCGGGGTTAATTGGAGATAGTCGTCGAGAAGATACCGCGCGGTGTTTGACGTCTTAATTGGGGCCCCGAGTCAGGTTCTGATTAAGGACATATATATATTTTAACACACGCAGCTCCAATGTTCCAATTAACACTTGAAAGCGGTTTGAAGTGGTTTTAAATATAAACATAAATATCACTCTTCCTCTTTCTAAACCCTCTCGTTTTTTCCCTCTCTGAACCTGTCTCTCTAAAAATGTATCTCTCTCTCTCTCTCTCTCTCTCTCTCTCTCTCTCTCTCTCTCTCTCTCTCTATTTATACGCTTAATAGGAAATATTTGAGCCCAAGAGTTAGGTTTAAAAAGAGAGAGGGAGAGAGAAAGAGAGACAAGTTTAGTTGAGCTTAAATATTCCCTATTAGAGGTTACTGCTTAGGTTTAGAGAAAGAGAGCGAGAGAGAGAGAGAGAGAGAGAGAGAGAGAGAGAGAGAGAGAGAGAGAGAGAGAGAGAGCAAAGAGGAAGGAGGTTTAACAAGAGAGAAAAAAAAGTTCCGTCCTATTTAAAAAAACTCACTTTCAATTCTTGTTACCCATATTCAACCGCCTCGAAAAGAAAAATAAGGACATAAAAAATTTTACATGGTCTAAAATTTTCAAGAACAGTTTACACAGCTAAACGTACAAAATCCACCAAGAATAATCATATACGAGATGTGTTCAAAAAGTGAGGTGATTTTTAAGTTTTATCAAAAAGTATTCATTTATTCATCAAAATTAATATTGTCCCCTTCAAAATAATCCCCCCACTTGTGCCAATGTTTTTTCGAATCCTCGAAGCACTTCTGGTAAGCACTTTCTGGTATAGCCTTGAGTTACCCGGGTGATTCTTTCTTTAACTCCAGAATAGTACCAAACATCCTTTCATGGGTTTCTAGAATTTTGTGAACAGGAAAAAGTCGCAAGTGAATATGGTGGATGAGGCATGATTGTAGTTTTGTTTTTGCTTCTGGCAAACGGCGCATAACTTCCAAGTAATTCCCTTTATTAACCGTACGATCTTGTGGTGTGCTACGCCACAATAATCGAAGAAAACAATAAGCAAAACCTTGACATTTGATCAGAACTTGCTTTTTTCGGTCTTGGCGAATCTGGGTTGTTCCATTAGGAAGACTTTTGGAGGATCAGGATTGAGTGATGCTCCTTAGATGGTCCTTTTATTCAAAATTAAGCAGCAGTTTCGGAACAAATTTTGGTGCTACAAGTTTCATGCCCAAAACTTGGGAAAAAAATTGTTTTACTTTTTCAACACTTCCATCATTTTTATTGACGTGCTGAGGCGTCCAGAGCGAAGTTCGTCGCCTTGTACCATTTATAAACATTTTTTTTGCCCAATGTAGATTCACCATATGCCGTTGTCAACATTTCAAGACTTTTGCAGCACTGTATTACATTTTTTACACGAAATTTTATGCAAATTCTTTGTTCCATTTTTTTTTGACAGCAGAAAATCGCCCAACACACAAAACAGGACTAACGCTTCTGTGAACTGTGTACATATATTGGAGACATGTGTACCAACGTAACAAAAAAAATATATCATAGATTGAAGTACCCCGTCCAATAACAAAAGTCACCTTACTTTTTGAACAGACCTCGTATATTGGAAACTTCACCATTCCTTGAGCGAATGCTTTTCTGCATACGAGAGTCCGCTTGAAAAAAAAAACGATTTTTTGGTAATTTCTACGCCATCTGACCATTTTTATTACAATCATTGAGTAGAATTGTTAGTAGGAGGTTAATTATAGAAGAAAACGGGGTAGGTACCTATTTGTCTAATACCTAAAATTATGATTAAATTAGGTTACCTAGTTGATCCACGCATTTATGAACTTAATTTTTTTTATAATATTTTGTACTGTTTAGGTGACGTCTAGTACGTGGTGCCATCATCTTAATAATTTATACTTCCACGTATTTGAAACATCATCGTCTGCTGATAGATCTTTTTTTGTTATTTTTCTCTTTACTTTTGTCTTTCTCTTCAATCATTTTCTCTGTTCTCTTTTCTTCCTCCTTATTTCGGGTCGTCTGTCTCAAAAAACTTGGTGGTGGTGTACGTCAATATAATCTGATAATCGATGTCTACGACATGTACAGAAGGGAGGTTAGAGCACCAGTGACGTCGATTTCAAATTTATTTACATTTCAATAATAATATTTAATTTTAAAAAAAGTATTAGTATATATGTTACGGTTAGTTTATTTTTATTATATATCCTATATTATTATTTTGGAGGAATCAACAGTTTCCCACAAAATAGCAGATAAGGGATGGTTTGGATTAACGTGCAATAGTAAATGCCACCAAAGTAAAGACTACGTTGTATTTATGTGTTTTTATTATTAGTTTTTGCTAAAAAAATAAAAATATTTTGTTTTTATAGGTTATAACGGGAATTTTGTAAACCAATTTTAACCATATTAACCATACATTAACATGGTTACAACAGTTACCTAAACAGTTTGCATCTAAAGCAACAGGTATTATATTATAAATAAATAAAATCTTCCTCTTAACTGAAGGAAATTGGTAGATTGCATACTAACCAACTAGTTTCTAAACCATCCACTGATCGTGACTATTTTGTGTGAATTGGCTGGTTCCTACCAAACAACAGCCAGTGTGCTAGTTTGAAAACTAGCCAAATAAGTATTTTCTAGTTATTTTCGTCGTGCATTGACGTAGACACTGAAATTCATAATTATCTCTAACTTTTATGAAACTACAAGAATTGCCACTTTTTCCTTTCAAAAAATGGTAAAATGAAGTAAAGAAATATTGACGTTTTGTAAATTAAATTCGATGATTTAAGTTTAAGAGCGCGTATCTCGACAGCAAAGCATTCGTCGCCCTGTGTAGTATATATAAACTATTTCTCTTGCACTATCGACCATTAAATCTTCCTACAGCAAACCAGGATGCACATTGTATATCTAACCTTCGGCCGAATTGGCCAAAACATCGCCCAAAAGGTCCCTAATCAAAAACGACTTGTGTTCCTGCATCTCCCGCGGCTTAGCGGCTCACATAATACCACCAAAAAAAAAAAAAAAAAACAGTGACGTGCGTCTATAGGGGCCTCAAAAATCGACCACCGAAACGCGAAACCGGCCCAAAACTGACTCTAATCGGCCAAAATTTAAGACGTAAACATCGTTCCCTAATAGAGCCGTCGCGAATCCAAAACTCCACCCCTTCGGGTTTTTCGACTCCACCCCCGCCGAAGATCCCGGGCAATGGCATCACGCGGTTCACGCCGAAGAATTAGGGGTTGCGTGGCCTCGAGCTCTGGCGAGGGTGTGCGTTACGAATTTAAACTCTCCGCGGGTATCCTATGAATATATTTTAGAGTTGATGAGCTTGGTTTATTTGTTGGTGTAGTTTAAATTGGGCTGCGAAGGGAGCCTCGGTGGTCTTGGTAATTGAAACGGCGTGCGCGACGGGCGACCTTTGATTTTCGGAGAGATCTCAAACTTTTTCAGTTATCCTTCTATCAAGCACTCCGCTAGTGACTAAAACGACGTTTATCAAATGTATTTCACAATATACTATGATGGAAAAATGCAACACTATACTTATTTAAACTCTATCTTCTGTAAATTTTTAAATCTTGCATTGAACACTGAGATGAATTTTTATTCGTACTGCTCTCTACATTAGTTTGTGTGTTAGTCATGACACCCCAAGCGTCCACAGACGTCGCATCATCGCAATTTTAATTTGAGGTGCGGTAGTAATGACGCTGCCAGTTTGATTCGTTTTTTGATTTAAAGTAGACCTTGCATATTTCTAATTTAAATATAAAATCATGAACAAACTGTTTTTATCGAAGTTTTGTTCTGTTAGTAAATGAATTGCAATGGCACATAACTTCAAGTAAGAACTCTCGATGTACTATGCCACGATAATCAAAGAAAACAGTAAGCTAAACTTTGACATTTGATCGCACTTGACGGGCTTTTTTCGGTCTTGGTGATTCTGGGTTCTTCCACTGGGACATAATTCGTCACCGGTTACGGCCCTTTTGAGAATATCAGGATCATCACTGACGTCGACTAATAGCTCTTGAGCGATGCTCCTTAGACGGTCCTTTTGTTCCAAATTAAGCAGTTTCTTAACAAGTTTCGCTGCTACAAGTTTGTTTCACTTCTTCAACACTTTCATCAGTTATTGACGTGATGGGGCTTCCAGAGTGATGTTCATCGTCTTTAAACGGCTTGTACCACTTATAAATATATATATTTTTTTTTTGCTCCAAGCAGATTCACCATATGCTGTTGTCAACATTTCAAGTGTTTTGCAGCACTGTATTCCATTGTTCACAGAAAATTTTATATTATTAAAGTCTTTGTTCCATTTTATTTGTCAGCAGAAAATTGCCGAGCACATAAAACGCTTCTCTCTCTCTCTGTTAACCAGCATAACAAAAAAATATCAAAAATCGAATGTACCTAGCCCTCCCAATTACAAAAGTCACCTTACTTTTTGAACACACCTCGTATAACTATTTTATCCAGTTCCGGGACATAGAAAGAGTTTATTAAAAAAATAATTGATTGGTCCATTAAATGGATATTAATTCCCGTGTCTTGCGATTTTAAAGGAATAGCTCATACGGGCCACCAGAAGGGACGAAATGGTATACAGGGTGAATTTCAATAAGTATTCGATGTTCTAAAGGGCCATTCATAGAGCAATATTTTTACGAATATTTTTCAAAGAAAAAAAGGCCCGTCTGCAGTTCATCCAAAATTTAACATTGTTTTCTATTTTTCCATTTCTTTTTATCCCTAATTTGGAAGAATAAACACCCATTGGCGTGTTTAGGTAAAACCTGCAGCTTATTATTTGGTATCTAAATTAGTTTTTGACTATACAATCGATAACAAAAGGCCTTCCTACAATTTAAATTAAATAGCAAAGACTATTATTAAGAATTATCCAAAAAAACAGATTTCTCTTTGTGGTTAGTTGTTTCATATTTCAAGTATATTAAAAATACACTGGGCTGATCTCTATTGTCTATACGGTGAGTTTGAAAATCGATATGTTCATTCCTTTTCATCAATTCTCCACGATTAGTAATATCTCTTCTTGGCGTTTCCTTAAGTAAAGTTTCATACACAATACAAAATACAAAATAACAAAAAACTTTTTCTAAGCGCATAGTAAAAACGAAAAGAACACTGCGAACACTCAAGACACATATCACAAACAAATAAATATAAAGTCTGTTCATAGATATAAGAAAGTGACTAACTGATTCGAATTAAGGAAAGACCCGGACAAGCTGTAAGAATGAAATATGGCCGAACAGGTCCGTACTTTGTTTAGAATTTAATTATTTGGGGTTTTGTTAGGAAAGATACAGTATGTATTTATGTTTAAATCTAAAATAAAATTAGAAGGAATGTTTGGAACTAGTTTGTTTTTAAACCAACTTTCAAATAAATCAGCGGTGATGTCTTGATGGTACTCCAGAGAAGAATCTCTAATATTTTTCGCAGGCAGAGAAAGTCCATTTGGAATCTAACCATCTTTCGAGCGAGCATGCAAAATAGTTATTCTTTTACCTCTTTTTGATGGCGCGTTTGTTTTACACTTATCAGTTGAGTCAACCCAACCCTTTTCCGGGGTATCATAAGTGTCGAACCAAGGTTCATCCAAGTAAATAATTATCCTTTGTTGTTCTCTGTAAATCCTAATTTTTTCTAGATACTCCCGTCGTCATTTCCGAATTCTAAAAGATTCCATTAAAACTTGCCTTTTGTCGATTTTTTTAAATCTAAAACCCATGTGTTGAATACACTTCCATAAGGTAGTTCTGCCACATTTAACACCGGTTTCATCATTTTCAAGCCTCCTAATTAAGATATAACTGGTAAATTTTACGCCGTATTATATCTTGATCACTTTCATCTACATTCGAGAAGATGTCAGCATCGCTTCTTTTTTTCCTCGCTGAAATGGGATTATTCACAATTTTCCATACAGTTGACGTTGGAATTTTCGTCAATGTGGCGGTTTCTTCTAAAGATGCTTGCTTGCTCGCACCACGTTCAATGAGGGTCAAATAAACATTGTTGATAACTTCCTTAGTCCCGATAGAATAGTATTTCCACATTTGGGCGGGAGCATCTCCTGAGATACACTAGACTCGCACATATTTTGCATAATTCGCACACGATTCAACACAGGCTGTACTACTCAGGAAATAAGAATTATTACTAATAAACCTAAACTAAGTAGTATACCAAACCAAACACAGGTAGGTATAAAATTACTTTCTATTGCGGACCACAATTTTACCTGAATTTAAATTCCGAAACTTTAGTTAATAACCTTGTTGCATTGTATGTTAATGACCACCCTTGGAAAATCCCATTCAAAAGCACTTGGTCACTTCCTTATATCTATGAACAGACCATACCTGGCCCACCCCTGACTTGTCACTGAAGTTACTTCACCCAACAAAAGTAGGTAATAACATCGTTAAAGTGTTATTAGGGACGGTCCGTCGAAAAGATGAAGGATGAGGCAGACTATACTTGCATTCCCCATAATTGAAGCCACCTATAGCTATATCGTACTTACCAACGTAATAATAATTTATAAAAATGGGTATACACAAAGTTTATCTTTATAAGAGTGGTTTGGAGAGTCAGCATCTAAGTGGCAGTGTTTGGGTACTTTTGTGGTGTATCAACGCTTAATAAGTCCACAATACCACATGAGAGAAGACAATAATATAATATATTTTTTAAATACTTCGATACTTCCCAACGAGGCTATTGTTGCCAGTGAGGTCATGACATATGTTTTTCTTATGGTGAACACATTAATTTCTAAAAAGTATGCAAATATTTGGACATCTTCCAAAAAAAAAAAGTGTTTTCTGTTTTCCTTACATTAACTTTTTGTATTTTAACAACTGTATTTTGTGTTATTACTCTTATTCAGTCCCCTTCAAAAATATATCGCATATTTGGGTATATCTCAAACGTCGGAGGATCAAACCGCATTACCCAGTCAGCCCTTCGCCCCGCGCCCCGCGCCCCGCTTTGAATACGTTTACAACAGGGTACGGCAGCGGGGACTGTAATATCCTCGTTAGAGGGTTATAATATCTGCAAATTCGAAACGTCGCTGTTACAAATTAGGGCCAATCAGGCCGGCATTTGTCGAGGAAATGACAGTGTTATTTGCGGCCCTTTGTCACCGCGCCCGCGGGAATGTTTCAGTAAACGATCGGGGGGAGGGCAACTCGGAGGAGGGGCAGATTTGAACTGCGCGTAAATCGGAGCTGGTTTGTTTGCAATTACTGGGGTATTCATCGCGACGCTTTGACAATTATCGTTGACGTTCCGAACTGTGGTTAAAACCACATCCTGATTGGACGACGACGACTTTGAGCGAAATTCGAGCCACTTTTATCTTAATTAATTAAGCTAATAAAGAAAGTTAAGAAACGACGTCATACACACTCAGCTTAAATTTTGTAACTTGTTTAGATATTGTTAAAAAGTGAAAATAAAAGTATGTTAATATGAAATTAAACAAATCACTCCACGTAAAACTTAGCGGAACTGAAATCCTGTAGATATTTAGGAATAAACCAAATACTTACCACCAATCATGCATCAGCAAAAAAGTCAATAAAGGAAAGGCTTTTAAACCGAATAAAGTGGAGCCAATCTGAGTTGGAGGCAGTGGACCGGGACAAATGACAAAGCACCGAACTCACCATCCAAACTCCTCAACAAACAACGGAGTATTAAACCTCCAGCTACTCCATTCGAACCTGCTAAGAAAACTAACTACTTACCTCACAAACAGCGCCGACAGACTTCACACAGCCATCGGCCGCATAGACGAGGGTGTCTCTCCACTCCAACAGAAACATCGATTAAGACATGGAAGAAGAATGGAAAAACAAAGCTCTACATGGAAGGTATGCTAAGGCGCTAAATGATGCTGAAGGCAACTGTCACACATTATATCTTAC